TGCTTCCACAATGCGTGTGCAGTGCGATGCAATCAGAGACCCAAACAAATGTTAGGTTCGACTTAATTTAGGATACAGGACCTTACCCTAGCATCATGTTGATTCCATCGAGCAATCTGCTCTTCGGTAGCCGGCAGTGTCGGCGTCGGAACGGTACCATCAAGGACTCCGAGGAGCCCTTTCCCTTCCACGAAAACTCAAAACTGGAATTCTCACAGTTTTTCCATTTTGTATGGTTTGTCGGTTTAGTTTGTCATTTTTGTCCATCATGTTTGTAATGTTTGTATGTGTACAAAATAAACGGGTTGACTTTGGGACGATTCCCTCTATATAGGAATAAAGCCTCCAAAGTCAACCTGGTTGTTTTTTCCATTTTTTTTGTAGTTTTTATTGTTTGTAGGTTTACTTTGTATTGTTTGTATAGTTCGTATGTTTTGTATTGTTTGTAAATATGTTGTATGTTTTGTCGTTATAGTTTATATTATTTATTAGTCCGATTTGCATATTTCATAATTTTTCATAATACCGAAATTACCCCTGTCATTAATTAAAAAGCGCTTCTCATTTTCTAACCGTTGGATTGTTGTGTCTAGATATAATGACCGGGAGAGGATTAGTCAAGTGACTAAACACCCCTTAGTCACGCTACAAGAAACATCACATATTGCCACGAATTCATTGCCACGATGATTTGAAGTGTGGCAAGTGTACCAAAATAGCCACAATGAATGTTATGACGTAGCTAATCATAATTTGATTAGATTATACGGCCACAAAAGTAAAATTTCAAAGCTACTAGATTTTTTTAGTTTTGAGCCATCAGTATCGTGGCAATTTTGAGTACTTTAACTACAAAATTTTCTGCTACCAGTAAAAATCAAAGCTACTTATAAGTTTATTGCCTCCAAGTTTTTATTCATGGCAATAATTTTACAATCATATTACTTGCAGCCACTTAATAAAAATTGTGGCCGAAATTGATTTTTTGTCATGTATATTATTATTTGTAGCTTATGGTAATGCCATTTTAGTTTCAAATCAAATGGTCCGTGGCCAATGACTTTTAGCCACATCCAAAGATTTGTGGCTACAACTAGCTTTTGCCGCAAATATCATAAGTGTAGCTAATAATGACACATACGTACGATGGTGTCATAACAAGACAAGCATAACAATTAACAACCTATAGCAAATTTTATAACCTCCCCCTACACGAAAAAGGAAAAAATTACTTTTGTTTGCTAAAAATTATTTTCATGAAGAAGATCGGCTTTCAGTGTGCAACATATCTCCGTCTGCCCCTTGAATAAAATGTTATAATCATAAGATCGACCGCATGGTGTGTAATGGATTTTATTTCAATTTGACGAAGTTATATATATATAAGTTATCCACTTGAAGTTGTAGCGAACCTTGCTCTGAAGTTGTTGTAGTCTTTGATTTAATCGAAATTAGATCGTTAATCGCTATCTCATAAATACAAATATTACAAGTACTACGCACTTTTGAAACACACTAATTAACCAAAATCTGATCATCTAATTAACTAAAATTCAAAATTGTATATCCATCAAAGGATTATCATTCTTTACCATACATTTGGCCATTTGGATACGGTACTCACTCTAGAATGTTTAATTGTTAAAACTATATAAAAAAATCCTTTAATGGATGCTCATTCTTTATGAATGTTTAATTACCAATACGAATCTATCGATATAATTAACCAAAATCAGAAAAAGTACAAACAAAATTGAAGAAAAAAGAAGAGACAAAACCTAAACCTGTACCATAAGATGTAATTGGCTTGTTGGGATCATAAGGGAAAGACAATTGGGGCATCTTTTTCTATTAATTGATTGGTGTTCTTGGTAAGCTAAAAGTCTGCATTCTCAGTTGTCCCTGAACATGAAGCGAGTCACAGCTAAGCTGGAGAGCAGGGGAAGACGAAGCAACTGGTTTTTCTTTGTGAAATGGTAAAATAAACATCAATAACTGTAATTCTAAACTTTCAAGAAAACGTTAGTTTAAAAATTGCAGAGTTGTGAAGCATCTAATGCATTCTTGACTTTAAAAACTGTCTTAGTCTAACTTTATATCTGAAATTTCAAATGAAAAAATAACAAATTATGAGTTGTCTACTCCATTTATAGCAATGTTAAGTGAAAAAAAGCAACCAAAATGTGTCTCAAGTGCTAGTACGCCAAGTGGTACCTGCCAAACAAAAATGTACAGTGATCACAATTTTAGTAGCTTATGACAAGAAGTCAATGTCAACTTATTCATCCTGATCACTATCATCTCCATATGCACTAATTTCACTATCATGACTGTCATCATCAGAATCAACATGCATCTCATTTCCATCTTCATTAGAGTCTTCCTCCCAACCAATTAGTTCATCATCTTGCACTGGGTAGGGGTTTGGATAAATAGGATCAGGTGTGTCTTGTTGAAAAGCCTCTTCTTGATCACCTGATTGTACATCAGTTGGGTCTTTAGTGAGGGAATCAAACGAGCTTTGAGATTGACCTTTCAAAACAACTAGCCAATTAGGATTAGATCCATCTTCAACATAAAATACTTGTTCCACCTGAGATGCAAGTGCAAATGGCTCATCAGTCAATAGCTTACGAGTTGTATTGACACTAACAAAGCCATATCTATCCATTTTCACTCCCTTGCCGATGTTGTCAACATCCCACCAATCACACTTGAACATGACCACCCTATTGCCTCCTAGGTATTGAAGCTCCATTATTTCGGTAATAACTCCATAGTAATCCATAGCTTTTGAACCCAATAATCCTCGTAGCAAAATGCCACTATTTTGCTTCACCTTTTGACTTTCATGATCTCTTGTATGAAATCTAAAACCATTTATCACATAACCATGAAATCTCTCAACGCCACATAGAGGACCTCGAGCTAATGAAATTAGCTCTTTAGTCAATTGTGCATCTTTGCCTTTGCATAGTTCTGATACCTATGAAAATTAAAAAATCATATATTTAAGTAAATATAGATAAAAGCTTTTTTATATAGATAAAGAAAAAAGAACTTACATGATGATAAAACCAGACATCAAAACCTACAGTATGATGAGAACTTTCATATTCTCTGCAAAACATAATAACACTAGTTAGAACAAGATTATATTTATCAACTAATATAAAGGCATGTTCCATGTCCTCTTTCTGTGGCCGGCCGACTAAAGGATTGTATATGCTGCATTACAAATCCAAAGTTCATGCATACGGACACCAAACCATTAGACATCTAGCATTAATATGATACTGATCCAAGTCCGTATGATAGCCTACAGTTTCTTTTCTCATTCGTCACACCATATTATATCAGGCAATCATCATACTAATAAAAGGATATACTTTAAGCACGTTGCAGGTTGAACCGTTGCAGCAGAATCAGACTACAAAATTTGAACAAGTACAATTAAAATATTCCTTCACAGCCCATACTAACATAATACCCGTACTTCATAAATATATATATATATATATATATATATATATATATATATATATATATATATATGCTAAAGTATTATATGATTGTATAATTCAAAATCACAAGTTCTCAGGTCATGGATAGATAAAAATATGATTCTAGAGAGTAATCAATTGAAGTAACATAATAATTAGGAGACATACCTTAAGAATGGTTCTACTTCTTCACAATTGTTTAAAATGTAGAGATGTGCTTGATTTCTTTCTAATTCCTCCAATAATCTATTTTCATCCATGGTTAACGGATAACCAGCACGTGCAAAAACTGACAATTTCTTACTTGAAACACTGTCATCTCCATCAGCATTTCTTTCAAGTTTATTGAATGGATTGTTTATCCCTTGTAAGTACCTTGAACAAAATATGATACTTTCTTCAACAATATATCCTTCTGCCATTGAACCTTCAGGATGAGTTTTATTTCGGACGTAACGTTTCAATTTCCGAAGATACCTATTTACAGAAATATATGATCATCAATGATAAAATCTCCATCGAATTCAAATATCACACTTCAAAAATAAGAAAAATATAAGGTAAACATTACATTACCTCTCAATAGGGTACATCCATCTGAATTGTACAGGCCCAGCAAGTTTTGCTTCCGTAGCAAGATGTATAGTCAAGTGGACCATGATATCAAAAAAAGATGGTGGGAACAATCTCTCGAGCTTGCACAATGTTATTGGAATCGAAGACTCAAGGTGTTTAAGCACATCTACACTTAGTTCCCTTGAACACAACTCTCTAAAATATATGCACAATTCTGTGATGGCATCATAAACACTTGGACGAACAATTCCACGTAAAGCAAGAGGAAGGAGACGCTCCAAGATAATATGGGAATCATGGCTCTTTAGACCAAATATCTTTCGATCTTTCAGCCTCACACAATTTGAAATATTCGAGGAAAACCCATCTGGAACTTTTACTTTCTTCAAAAATGTACACAACCTCTTCTTTTCTTCTTTAAGCAAACTGTAACATGCAGGTGGCAATTTCCATTTCCCATCTTCCTCCACCGGATGCAACTTTCTTCGTATTTTCATATGCTCCAAATCGCGCCGAGCATTCAGACCGTCCTTTGTTTTCCCTTCAATGTCAAGTAGAGTGCCAATGATATTATCACATACATTCTTCTCGATGTGCATTACATCAAGATTATGGCGCAACAAAATCTTCTTCCAATAAGGCAATTGGAAAAATATACTTTTCTTCTTCCAATTCAAATACTTTTGACGATCATATTTTGTAATCTTCTTATTCTCACCTTTTCCGAACTCATCGAATACAAGCCCTTCATGTTGTTTCAGCACCTGATCACCAAATACTTGTGTTGGAGGAGATCTTTTTTCTACCTTTCCATCAAATGAGCACTTATTATCGCGCCATTTATGATCAGAAGGTAAAAACCGTCTAGCACCCATGTAAGAAAACTTACACCCTTTTTTCAATCTAATGGAATGAGTCTCCTTATTGCATGAAGGACATGCTAATGCTCCCTTTGTACTCCATCCTGATAAGTTTGCATAAGCGGGAAAGTCATTAATTGTCCATAATAATGCTGCACGCATGCGGAATGTTTCTTTCTTTGAAGCATCAAATGTATCAACACCATAATACCATAATTCTTTAAGCTCCTCTACCAAAGGCTGCAAGTATACGTCAATATCATTTCCTGGAGCTTTAGGACCAGGTATCAACAACGACATCATGCAATAGGATTGTTTCATACACATCCAAGGAGGTAGGTTATATGCAGTGACAATAACTGGCCAAGTACTATGAGAACTGTCCATGTTGCCAAAAGGATTGACACCATCAGCAGATAACCCAATTCTAACATTACGAGGTTCTCGAGAAAAACCTGGATTTGCCTTATCAAAAGATCTCCACACTTCAGAATCTGCTGGATGTCTAAGAACCCCATCTTTCAAACGCTGGTCATGATGCCATCTCATACTTGATGCTACTTCTGATGACATAAATAATCTCTGCAACCTTGGGGTTAAAGGAAAGTAACGCAAAACTTTGTATGGCACTCCTTTCCCCTTTGGTAATTTTTTACAATTTTCCTCCACTTTGTACCTCGGCTCTCCACAGTGTAAGCAATTTTGCAAATCTTCATACTCTTTCCAAAATAACATACAATCATTCCTACACGCCTCTATTTCCCTATAATCAAGACCCAAATCTTTGATCATCCTTCTAGCTTTATAAAAAGATTTGGGCAAAGTCTCTCCAGCAGGAAGTGCCTCTTTAAACAACTTCAATATGTCTTCAATTGCAGTATCACTTATTCCATAAAGGCACTTGATTTGGAATAACTTCACAATAAATGATAACTTTGTAAAGTTCTCACAATTGGGATATAGTTTTTGTTCAGCATCCTCTAATAGCCTGAAAAACTTACCTGTTGTCCCATTATGCTTGGGAGGTTCTTCTAGATCTGGCTGAACTATATCTTCTTCTGAGGCATCATGCATTATAGAATCCACAACTTCAGGCCCTCTGACATCTTTAATCAAATCTATCATTCTACCACAACCTTCCCCCGGTACCAATTCATCGACAAAATGGTCATCTTGGACAAAGCTCTCTCCGTGGTAATACCATCTTGTATAAGATTTAACAATCCCATTCATGATCAAATGAGCCTTCACTTCTTCTTTGGTAAAGTGCAAGACATTATTACACTTCTTGCAAGGACACAAAATCACACCTTTCTTGTTGTCGTTGGTTGATGCAAAATCCAGGAAATCATCTACTCCTTTAATGTACTCTCTACTCAATCTATTTGAAACTTGCATCCAGCTTCTGTCCATCTTGTTAATCTACAGTGAAACATATAAGTTGGGTCAGGAAACAAAGAATAATAAGAATGCTCACAACTCTACAAATATATATATGTCGGGCATAGGCATTCAATTCATAATTCGGGTTTCTTCTCAGATTGACGATTTTCCAGTAGGGGTGAAACTGGGCCAAACCCAGCCCTGACCCTACCACTACCCCAAAAAAACCCAGCCCTGTATGCCTATTAATTCATAAAAGTTTGATTACAAAAATTCCAACTAATTCCAAAAAATTTAAGGCAACAAGTATATAGAGGAAATGTGATCTATGATGTTGCAGCTAGCAATCTACCAGAACTAACGATCTTGGGATACCCTAAATTTCTGAACATTCACATAACCTTCAGCAACTAAGCCACTGTCTCGTCGTGAACATCTTCTACTGCTAGCTCATGATTAATAGGCATCGAGTCTTCTACATCTGAAATCATGTTAGCAGAACCTAGGTGTACATCAGATAACTATTCCCAATTCGGATGAGCTTCCTAGTTGTCTTGATGTATTGAATCTTCTAACTAGTAGTAAGTATACAGTCTTGACATCCCACCAACAATGCCACCATAATTCTGTAACTTTGATTCCATATCCTCCAACCTAAGCTATGTAGTCATGTACCTATGCCTATCTGTTCACAAGTACTCTACCCTACTAAAGAACTCCAAAAATGGTTTGTTGAAGAATGAAGGGAACATCTTAACAGGAAATGCAACCAATATAGCAATTCACCACACAATCAATTCTCCAGTTCCACCACATCACATCGAGTCATTGCCACGAACCCCAATTCTGATCATGACTTATGTACAACACAACACTGCTAAGCCATTAAGAAAAAGAATTGACCAAAGCCAGCAATTAACAAGACAGGAAAAGTGAGATGAACCAGTCAAACCTGGGTTTGGGGAGCAAAGAAATTGGGTGTGTGGAATCCGATTCAGAGCTTGGCGACGGTGGAAATTAACGGTCAGTGGAGAAGCTGCAGGGCAAGAAGAGGAAGCTGGACAAGAAACTGAAGTCGATTCACTCGTGGAGGAAGCTCTCGAGCATCATCTTCGTCGCCAGCTTTGGGCGGTGCTGATATGGTCCGTCGTGGCGGCGGCAACGTCGATCCCGCTGGGGTCGATGGGGAAGTGGATCGACTTGCTGTGGCGGAACTCGAGAGCGCGGTGAAGGGGGCAGAAGGAATCGTGGGGACAATGCAGGTCGGGAGCTACCTGGATCCACAGGATTGGGCCGGGCTTATGGGTAGTCAATAGTGAGAAGAAGGACCTGGATCAAGGACCTGGATCCACAGTTCAATGAAAAGTTCTTAACAATCAATAAAATTATATCATAAAATAAATCATAAATTTTTTATTAAATTTAAGTTAGTAATTATGATTAAATACATTGGATATTAATTGTTTTCACATTTTTTTAAACCGGCATGAACCGACACAAACTAGTTATATCACCGGTCGCACCATTCGACTTACTAAACCGGTACAACGGTATAAACCGGTTTGACAACCTTGGTTTACATTAAACCAAGGTGATTCATCTAGTTTATATCCAACCATTAAAAATAAAATTAATAGAAAATAATTCTTGTAATAAAAGAAATCTAATAAGATCCATTTTACTACTTTTAAATTTTTGAATTTTTGCTATATTTTATATTAAAATTATATTTGAACATTTTACAACACCTCTTATATTAAAAAAGTACTTTTAATAGTATTTAGGCAAATACTCAACTACTTTGTTTGAAAAGTGTGTTTCTAAGACCTCTTATATTAAAAATTTACTACTTTAAAGTTTTTGAATTTTTGCTATATTTTATATTGAAATTATATTTGAACTTTTACAAGACCTCTTATATTAAAAAAGTACTTTTAGTAGTTTTTTAGGCAAACACTCAACTACTTTGTTTGAAAAGTGTGTTTCTAAGAGCTCAAGTAGGAATGCCAATTTCGACCTGACCCAATTTATCCGACCTGTTTGACCTGTTTTGGGGCGGGCATGGGTACCTCTCATCGACCCGACCTGTCCTAGCCCGCCCCATTCTCGACCCGACCTGTTCTTGCCTAAATTACATGTAATCTTAGTCAAATTAGTTAGGTTTTTCATCTTATTACATTATATTTTAGCTATAATAAAGTTGTAAATAAGTGAAAACCTCAATTTCTTCAATAATTTAACTACATTTTATCATATTATCATTTCTTTCTTGGTGTTTTTAGTGAAAATAACGAATATTTCTATTGTTTTTCGCATAAATAACCTACCCATTGGGTCGACCTGTCCCGACCCGCTCCCCGTGATAAATTACCCGACATGTACCTGACTTGCCAAGGGGCGGGTATGGGTATGGAGATACCCGCTCCGGACCTGAATCAATGATTGGACCAATAGTGCCTTCAATCAGCTTTATTCCGGTTCAAATGTCAATTCGGTCCATTTTCTTCAGTATCAATAAAATTCATAGAACCAAACACCGGATCAAACTATATACGATTTGGTGTGGTCTGGTCGAAACATCATTTTGGTCCAGTATGAACCAACCCATTGCCCACACCTGAAATAAAATTAAAATATGGTAAGTATAATCTTGTATTTTCAAAACAGCTTTTCGCAGAAGTTCCAAATCGGAGCTTCTGCTTTTATGTTATACAAAAGCGCATTTCGGCTTTTCAAAAGTCGAGCTTTTAGAGGTGTTTGGCCATGTTTCATCTTTTAAAGCCGAAAAACACTTCTAAAAGTCGGGCCAAACATAAATAAAATGTATTGAGAATTCATTTCATTTTGAAATGAACTATCATTAAAATTTATTGTTAAATGAATCCATGTTTATGGTATGTCATATTTAAATTTTTAGACACAATATTCAATGAAAATCTATCTTCTAAAAAATAATTTTGCTCCCATACGTAGAATATCAAACTTGTTCTTGTGTGTTTCTATTATATTCGTTAGTTCTGTTTCTTAACTCACTGATACAATTGAAACAGAATTATCAATTAATTGTGGAATTCATTTGGAAATTTCATCTCAATTTCTCGGCATTCTTATAACTAGTTCCAATTCCGTATAATTCAAAATTTAGAATTGATAATGAATTTTTTTTTTTGGAAAAAAATGAATTCTTTTAAATAACAAGTACAAAATGATATTATTTAAAGATGAATTTCTTAAAATTTATTTAATTCATTTATACCGAGATTTAGTAGCTCAGTTATCTTTAGACTAAAAACATTAGCTCGTTTATCTATGAAAGTCCTTTATAGTTTGGAATTATTTATATTGAATCAAAATTCTAGGAGATGCGGCCACTATATTTGTTAACTAAATCCTTTTTACCAATAGTTTTTACTGATATTGCCTAACAGGGTAATTACTGCAAAATATTAATTTAGAAAAAGGAAATTTGGTTAGCATAAATAAAGCTAAAATCAATGACGTTACCCATTTTGGGTATCCTATTCCAAATAGGTAATTGGTTTTCTTTTTCCTTGTAAACATTATCTTTCAAGAGCCGCCACAACCCTCTTTTGATATTTCTCCTTAAACAGATTCGTGGGCAAAAAAATTGTGCGCACTCTTGAAAAGTAAAAGTTTAGGGCGGAAGTTTACAGCGGGAAAGCAAATTTTGAGAACTTACTCACTATATAAATCATCATGGTTTCTTCCACTCAAGCCTTCCGAAAGACTACCGATAGAGCACTTGTATTCCTAGAAGCTGAAACTATTACCAAGGTAATTGATACTGCGCATTTAGTATAATCTTAATTGTTGCTTCAGTTCCTATCGATCACAAAACGGTTTTCTCAATTCTCAATGTATTTCGTAGCCAAAAAGGGTTGATCGTGCATATATGCATATGTACCTGGATGTCAGATCTTAATGACTCTCATCCCTTTTTCTTTTGTTCTTGTTATCGGCTCAATTTTTCTGGATTGGTACTTTTATTGATTACTCTTTGGAAGCTAACATAAATCCTTGTCTTCTAAAATCAGGTTAAAGCAAGGTCAATATATTGTTTATCTTATTAGTTTATATTATATATACAAACGAGGAGAAACAAAATTGAAATCGCCGACCGGCCCCTGCATTCTATTTATACGCATGGTCTTTGAGTACAATTGGCCTTGTTGATAATTTAGAAATTACTTTTACAGGTCTATCTTCAACAATGCCGAGGTGTGGAGGTCTCCGGAAAAGGAAAAGGAAGGTGAACCAAAACAGTAATGAAAACCAAGTTGAAGAAGATTCAGAACATAATATTGTGAGCCAATCTCATTCGTCCAATGAGATTCCTTCAACTTTAAGGGACTCTTCAAATCCTACTTCTCCTGAAAACTCAGCAAGTGACATACCTTCACCAAGTATGTTTTTGTTTTCACTTAGACTTAATTAAATTGCACTTTTAAATACTTAATTGTCAGGATGTCTTACTAAGTAGCTATTGTTTCTCTGGTATGCTCACTGTAGGAAATTTTAATGCCCAAGAATTAACAATCAAGTATCATTATGGAGGTCATTTCACATTTTCACCTCGTAGGCAGTACACAGGGGGGAGTGAGATGGTAAAAGATGGCCATGAGGTGGATTTCCTCTGTTATTTCACTATCCTGGATGACCTTAAGGCATGTGGCTTTAATATTCTTGATGGAGATAAGTTCTATTATCTTAAACCAAGAACTCCTATTAGTGACTTGAATGGGCTTGTACGTGTGAATGATGATGATGATGTTTCATCCATGCTGTCCTCTTATAAGAAACACATGCTATCTACATTTGAGATATACACATTGTCAAGAAAACATGATATTTTGCCAAATGAAAGCATGGGAGAAGAGATTCCTCTGGACAGTGATCCCCATGATCCAATTCAGCCATCAACTGTACAAGAACCGGAGCTTAATCCCTCAGGTATATTATATATACACCTTTCCATCTCAAAGACATAATTATATATTTGCTTTTTCATATAGCAGTCCGATTGATAAGGTATTTTCAGAATCCTATTTAATTATTTATTTTACCTTCTGAACAGAAGGTTCGCATTTGAAGAAAAAGAAAACGCGAGGACCCACACGATGTATGAAAATTATTGAGTTAGAGGAAGGAAGAAAGCTGCCAGTAGATTTTGATGAAGATCATCAAGCAATTGGAGAAAACGCAACAAGTTTTGTTTGGTTCTTGGGAGTAACGGTTCGAAATCGATCATGTTGTCCTTTACAAGTGAAAAGATGGAAGGATATTAGTAATGATGCTATCGAGCATATGTGGGCAATTGTACAGGTAATCAAATTCTTACTTGATTTTTTTTTTTTTTTTTGAATTATTTACTAACTTGCAGATAAATCATATCTCAATTCTTATTTAATATGATTCTCACATTTTTTTTAGGAGAAGTTTACATTTGAATTACCAATGGGAAGGATGGAAGCAATCATCGGTCACATGAATGCATTATATCGGGATCATAGGCAAAAGTTGAAGCAGAAATATTTCAACAAGAAACATAGTTACAAAAGTCGCTTGAAGAATAGGCCAAAAAGAGTCTCAAAAGATGATTGGAAGTATCTCGTTAACTTATGGAGCGATCCAACTTTCCAGGTATTATGTTTATAAATTTTATGCAAGATAAATTATATAAGTTCTCGAATAGTTTTTTTCATATGCATATTAAACATTGGTTTCGTTTTGTCAGGAAAGGAGTTTGAAAAATAAAGAGAACAGATCAAAACGTTCAATGCCACCCTACACAGGCACAAAAAGTCTTGCTCGACTTAGACACCAAATGGTACATTTATGTTATAAGAATATTCAATTATTTATATCATACTTTATTTTATTCTAAGCTAATAATCCCTATTTCCTTTTCAGAAAAAACAAAATGGAACTGTTCCTTCTCGTGTTGAGGTTTGGATTGAATCACGTAAGAGAAAGAAAGGAAAGACTATAGACCCTGACTCCCAAGATGTGATTGTAAGAGAACTTTTATTTAAAAGATCAAAACATTGGTTATTTCATTACATATCAATTACGTAATTTGTTTCTTTCAGTTCAGTTTCTACTCAACGATTAATTGTTGTTTTCATCTTTCTAACGCAGTCTCAACTTGATCAATTGAAGAAACAAAGAGCTGAAGGAGTTGTTTCTATGAATGATGAAGAAATGTTTGAAAAGGTTCTAGGACCTGAGAAGAATGGCTATGTGCGAGCTTATGGACCTGGAAAAGGCGTGACCGAATTCTTTGGTGTTAAACCAACCAAAGCTGCACTTATAAAACAAGTAGAAGCTGCTAGAAAAGAAGCGAGTGAACAAGTGGAACAAGCCAAAAAGGAAGCCAATGAACGAGTAGATAAGATAACCAGAGACGTTGAGAAACAAATGGCTGATATGAACAAGAAATGGGAAGAAAAGTTTAAAATCCTACTTTCTAATACAAGATCTTCAGCGCCAAGAGAAGAGTCTAATGAGGAAGTAAGTGAGAATTTTTAAATTGTTTATGTTTGATCTTCATCTTCTTGTCTTTTCACTTGTGCATTACTCAATTTTTGCAGGTGACAGAGAGTGAATAATCTGAACGAATTATAGAGATTTCATCATTGCAATTCTTCGAGGGGTGTAGCACTTTTTAGGATGATTATCAGTTTAGACTTTGGACTATCGATTTTATGTTTTTGCTTCTATTTGATAATAACTTTTCAGATTAGTCATTATGTTTTTTTTATTATGTTTCCGGATCATGCCTCATGTGCTGAATTTATTTATATTATTTCGTGGATGTGTGATCAATAGTCTAAGCCTACAACTAACAATAACATGATATGCAGCCACGTCTATACATAGTCATGTAATGCAATCATTATGTTTCCCACCACAACAAACAATTTAAACACATTTAATTTTGAAAAAATAATTTAAAAAAACAAATTCTAAGCTTCATTGTGGTTAAAAAAAATTTACAGCCACAAAATTCATTTCATGGCTAAATTTTTCAATATATATAGCGACTAATAATATAGCCGTGTACCCAACTGCAGCAAAATATATAGCTACAAAGTAGTTTATGGCAAATGTTTTATAACTTTTGCCACATGTAGTATTTTGTGAAGCAAAAACAAAAAGATTTAGCTATGGAATTACTAGTAGCATAAAATAGATTTTGTTGCCACAACTTGCATACATAAAGCTAAATCTTGATTTCTTTTGGCCACGATGATTACACCGTAGCAAGAATACTTCATCTACAGTTACAAAATACTTGGTAGCAAAAACATAAACATTATAGCCATGTTAAGTATTTTGTAAGCTATTAGTAAATTTTATAGCCACGACTCTTTTGGTAGTAAAACATACTTTGTTATAGTTTGAAGATAATTTGTGTCAAAATCTATAGCTAAATGCGTGGCAAAAACTATCGTTCTTTAGTTTCAAATTATGAATGCGTAGCAAAATGCTTGATAAAGCAACAAATTATATTCTTAGTAGCAAAAAATCTTCATGATCTAGCTACATAATATCCATTTTGTGGCAAGACTTTCAGCTATATTATGTTTCTTTTATAGCTAAATGCATTGGTTGTTAGCTACGTAATTGGAAAAATGTGTGGCTAACTTTTAGCTGCGCTACTTCTAGCTACGCAAGCTACAAAATAAAAATTATGTGGCTATATAATTTAGCCACGCAAATTTGACATTTTAGCCACAAACAGTTCCATAGCTGTATGGGCAAATTCTTGTAGTGTCACCTGACCTCAACACTCACTAGGCCAGTGTGTGTCAACCATACTTCATATTGTTTGTAAAGTTCTTATGTTTTGTATTGTTTGTAAATCTGTTTGTATGTTTTTCCGTTATAGTTTGTATGGTTTATATGGTTTATATTATTTATAAGTGCGGTTTGTATATTTCATAATTTTTCATAATACCCAAATTATTCCTATCATTAATTAAAAAGCTCTTCCCATTTTCTAATCGTTGTATTGATGTATCTAAATCTATAAACTCGGAGAGGATTAGACAAGTGACTAAACATCCCCTTATTCACCTCAACACTCACTAGTCACTAGTAGAGGTGGCAAATGGATTGGTGGATTGGATTGGGGAAAAGTTTAGGTACTAAAATGTTGTAATGAAAAAGTTTAGGTACCAAAACATAATTTTCCAATGATATTTTTGTATAAAAAATTAAATTTTAGATACCAAAATGTAAAATATAAAAAGTATACATACCAAATAGTAATTTTCCATTTGAATCCATGGATCAATCCATGAATTCACGAATCCAATTGAATTTGGATCAAATCGATTGAATTTAAATGAATTGGATTATGTGAATATTTTTAATGAATTTGTGAATTTGATTGAGAATTGCCACATCTAGTCACTAGACCATTGCGGTGGCTCCATAAACCTCGGCCCAATAACAATTCCTCGGTTGGAAGGTGTATCCAAGGCCCAATACTGCCCTTCCACTCCACGTGCGGGAGTTCAGGTTGCCCTAAACCCGCGCGTGCGATAAAACCTCACGCATGTCAGCGAAACTCGCAGAGAAGAAGTCCAATAAAATATTAAATAAACACTGTTCTTTTTTTTTTTTTTTTTTGGCTCCCTCCTTCTGAAATTTTACCCTCTCTCCCTGAAACTCTCTTTTCAATTTTTTCCTTTCTTTTTCTTCCTCTACTAGTCCTCGGCCGATCACCTTTCTCGCACTTTCTCTCCCGATTTTCTCTCCTTTCAAAATCACTCCGCTTCTTCCCCTCTCAATCCCTCCGATCGCCGGAGATTGCTTCCTCCTCTCTACCGATCTCTCCTCCCTCCGCCTCTCACTTGTTCCAACTGGTACGTATCGCCGATCACTTCACTTACTACTCGTGTTTTTCCTTTTCCCCTCTACATGTAAAAAAGGCTCTCAGGCGTATACGTTCCTTCAATATAATCTTCCCTTTTCATAGATCACGTCACCGGCACGATACCGAACGATTTTTCCTGTTCTTTTTGTATTGGCATTCCTGATTGAGCTTTTTCACCATTGATTTCGCGGCGTTGTTTCGATTTTCTCTTTCAATTGGTGGAGCTGAGCAAGAACGAGGGTCAAGATGCCGTGAGATTTTGTCTCGTTGGTTGAATCCGGGAGGGGGTGAAATCTCGAACTAATTGAATTAGGTCGGTTGAAATTCTGCAGGGTGCGGAAGGTGTTTTGGTTGGCGACGGGAATGGTCAATGGGGGAAGTGGGAAATTCGAAACTGTATATGTTGTAGGTGGTATCTAGCGAATGAATATACCAATTATCTGACCCAACCTTTCGAAACTTTGGCATTGGCTTGTTATTTTGCTTGTTAATAACGAAAATGTGGAGTGGAGGCAATTCAGAGTCAAAGCCACATTGCTTCAACTGACATTGCTGTTCTTTGTGCAGTGGCGTTTCAGCGAGGTAGTCGTATCCTGTACTTATCCTGTGTGCATAAATGCCAGTTGCGAAACTCAAAGGGGCCAACGCTACAGATGTGATGAAATCAGAAGAGGGGAATGATTCCCTCGACACGTTTATCAGGCAAGCAATGGGGAAGGAGCCTCTACTTTCCTTCCCAAGGACTAACGACAGCCCCGTACAGTGGATCCAACTGCTTCAAGCTCTAGACCAGCAAGGTACTACTAGCTGCTCTTTCATCCATGCTCAGAACAACATGTAAATATGTGTCTGTGTTGTCTGCGGTTGTTGTTATAATTGCATTTTGTTCTGAGATTATATGTCAATGGATTGTTGCAGATGGACCAGGGTGGCCTTTACTGACTCCTTTGAAGGTTCAGATGCAAAAATGTGACAAGTGTTCACGGGAGTTTTGTTCCTCCATAAACTATAGGAGGCACATACGTGTTCACCATCGACTGAAAAAGCTTGACAAGGTATCCTTGCGCTTAGTACCTGATTTTTTTGTCGTTGTTCGCTCAACGGTTATAAGTGTAAATGTTTTAAACTTCCCTTTTGAGACTTTATATGTAACATATGTTGACTGGAATCATTCTGAAAAAAACTTTTTTCCCTTGGTCAGGATACCACAAAAAACAGGAATCTGTTAGGAGCCTTTTGGGAAAAGGTAAAATTTCTGTCTTAAGAGGTTCTGATGTGCTGCGGCTTTGTCTCTTTGCTGATCAATCAGTCTATTTTGCAGCTCTCTGAAGATGAAGCAAAGGAGATTTTGTCATTCAAGGATGTGGCGCTGGAGGTATGTTGTTTTGTATTTGCTGCGAGGATGTCACAGCTTGCAGACTTGGGTCGGTTGTTTAGTTGATCTGCCTCTAAAATCCATGTTGTTGGGAGTCATTCACTTTCCCTTCACCCTCCACATTTTCTCTGTTTTTCTGTTGCGTAGTAAGAATGATTTGATTTTATTGCATATCTCTGATTTTGTTTAAATGCATCTCTTTCCCTGTAAATCACCAGGAAGTGTCGGGATCTTCAATTATAAAGTCATTGATGGCTCTTAACCGGAAACAGGGGTTTTCTCCCCTTCCACAGTACTGTTTGAGGGCTGGTACTGCTCTTCTGGTGAGGCAAAGTTGTCTTATTTTCTTAAGATTACTGCTTGATTCTGTTCCTGCTCTATGATTAAGCTAATGTGATCCGTGACTTCTCTGCAGGATATTATCCAAGGGAGATTTAGGTATCCTTTATCTTCAGAGGAACTGTTTAGTATTCTCGATGATGCCAGTGAAAAGACATTTCTGTGTGGAGCAGCAATCCCAATGCAGAAGTATATTTTTGATGGGGAAGCCGCTAAAACTGGTCTCGAGACAAAGAACATAGTTGCATGCACCAGCTTCTTGGTGGAACAGAAACTGGTTAGTTTAGCTAATTGTATCCATCAAATAAGTTGGTGTTTTTTTTTTGGTAGAAAAATAAATTGTTGTTTGATTTAGCAGAGGTTTGTATTCTCATTTCCCATTCTTGCGATGCATCTTGGTTTCCCTCCATTCAGATTAAGGCATGGGTTGCAGACAAGGATGCGGAAGCTCTGAGGTGCCAGAAATTGCTTGTGGAGGAGGAAGAAGCTGCCCAGAGAAGGTCCCTGCTAACCTGAATTTCGAAATAACCTTGTCATACTATGTTTTTTAAGTACCATTTGTGTTTTACAGCGACATGTTTCCCGAATGCTTGTAGGCAAGCTGAACTTGTGGAACGGAAAAGGCAGAAGAAGCTCAGACAGAAAGAACAGAGAGCTAAGGAGCAGAGACTGGAGGAGAAACCTGACATCGAGGAGCACAGTGATGAGACCATGGAGGAGCTCCCAGCTGAACTACCCTGTTCAACTGCATGTAGTTCTAATTCACACGACGTCGAAATTCAGCCAGATCCCTTTTCATCATCTTCTGAACCTGTCCAACTCACATTTCAAGATGAAGAGTTGTTGGATTTGGAGAATCAGATTCTATATGATACTGGAGCTGCTGGTGATCCATGCAGAGATTATTTTGTCGAACGGCACACGACAGTACCGGGAAGCAACCGTAGTAGGCACATAGGTCGGTGGCACGTGCCTCCAAAATCCCAGTGGAATCATATTCCTAATGGTTATCACGGAACTTACAGGGAACCGAAACAAGCGGCAATGGTTAACGGAAACAGAAAGTGGAGCAGGAAAGCTAGAGTAGAATATGCCTCCGGGGAGACCTTGAAACTCAGAGTTGAAAGGGGAGCAGCAATGACAAGCCAGCAGCCAGATCATCATGCCAAGAAACGCGAAGTTCTGATTGGCTCTATCTCTGTTGCACTTGGGAATTCTAGCCAACAGGATGGTCAAGCAGACCAGCAGCAGCAAGTTCCGAGGAAGAGCAATAATAATGTTCAGGACAAACACTCGAATCGTTCAACAGTGAAGCAGCAGTGGAGGCCTGTTAGCCGAAATGGTACCAAAGGCCAACCACAAGATGAAAGTGGCTCTAGAGAATCCCCAGATGGAAGTCTACATCCTGGGAGGTCTCAATTCTCATGCCAGGCGGCTAAAGCTTTTCTTGCAGAGAGTAAGCGCAACTATTGCATATTTCTATTCTTCTGTTTTTTTATACCATTTCATGTCAGAGAATAACCATTAGTGCCAATGCAGGGTGGAAGGAGGCAATGGCAGCGGAGCATGTGAAATTGGTTCTCGCACCTGAACCATTCAAAGCCGGTAAGGGTTTTCAACAAAATGGCTGTGCTGTTAAAGCTGAGTCGTCAGATGTTCGTAGAGGTATAGAGCTTGGTACCAGAGGATCGGAGGAGGATATGATGGTCGATGGAGGTGCTGGTTTGAAGGGCAAGTTCAGAGCAAAACCTGAGAAAGGGGTGAAGCTAAAGTACATACCGAAACAAAGAACGTTGAGCTAATAAACCAAAGAAGAGGGAAGGAAGGAGGAGCAAAATTCATTTCTCTTTTCATCTTTTAGGGGGGTTTTCTCATACAAACGTGCACAGATTTTGATTTTGTCATTTTACTACATTCTTAGCATAGGGTTCCAGTTTTACAGCCTTGGTCTTCTGTCAGGACAAAAAAATTGATAGACAAGAACGAGAAAAAGAGAGTGATCTGGAAAAAAAGGGTTTTATGCAGGAGTCATTTTTGAGTTTCGTCCTTTTTTTAACAGTGGCTTTAGCAACAGCAGGAGGTTTTGGTTGGTATAATTTACTTAGCAGAGGCAGAGCAGTTTATAGGGTTATTTTCCCTTTTGTTTTTGTTGTTGTTTTTTTTTTTTTTTTTTTATGGTACGGTATTCTCCATTTTTGGTTAAATTTTTTGGGGTTGGGGTCTCTCATTGATTCAGTCTCGATTGTTTTACCTGTACTAATAAGTTTTAGTCTCTTACTTGTAGGTCTTGTTGACATACACGATACATATATTCTGGCAGAGTTCTTCCTTTCCTGCCTTTCCATTCTCCTACCTGTCACAGACTCACAGTGTTGATATTATGCGTTATTTGGATGAGATTTTTGAATGAGATAAAGTAGTTATTGACGACGAAACATCATCGGGATTTAGGTTACATTTTCAATTTCATGATGTGAATTCGAGTGATTACTAGATTGGTGATTTGTCGTGTGTGACCTATTCATTCAAATTGTGCATAAATTCAACAAGGGGTGGGCAATTGTTGTTGTCAAAACCGTACCGCATTAGCACTAACTTCATCGCATCACTTATCAATTCGGTTGCACCGCATACTTGACAATGATTTAGTTTGGTGCGGTCAAACCGAACCACACAGGTATGAGGTTTTGGTGCGGTTTAGATCGAAAAACGCATATTTCACCATAATTAATATTTGAATTGACAATGTGGTCGAATTGGCATATAGTTCTCTAATCACCAACGCCCACCATCTATTTCCAGAGTACCTAGTGTATTTGCATATGGAAAGTTCAACTTGTCATTCTATGAGTGAATTCTTTTTGGCCTTTGAACCGCAACCACGCGATTTCACTTCAACCCCATTGCAAAACGCGCGTACAAAGCTAAAAACTAATAGAATGTTAGGCGTGCGAGTTGACTTGATCACAAACGCGATTCAAGTTTGACTGCACTCTAATGTCAAATCCCTAAATTCAACCATCTATTAGTGCCACTCTATAGTGTCCGTCATGCACCATAGCCTATGTAAACTTTTCACTCGTACCGTTCAGGCCTAGGTTCAGGTCCTTAAGCCTCAAAGTTTAAGAAGTTCCTTAAGTGAATCTAGCCATTAGATTAATCTAGATTTTAGGAAATAATTATTGGTTATTAAGTAGTTATTAGTTATTTATGGTATTTGGGATATTATAATTAATTTAAAACTAAGAAAAGAAAGAATTTTTGGCCGGTCTTTTCATTTGAAGGGTAGGTTATCGTTCTTTATTTCTCAAGCTTCCCGTCGTCCTCACAAGCAGCTCACCGCCAGCTTCACGCCGTTACTTTTTCGTTGAGATCGATCTTCCCATCGTCCTCACCAGTCACCACTAGCTTGTCGCCATCCATTATTTCAGCAACTTCCCGCTGTTGAGCTTGAGCTTCCCATCGTCTTCAAACAGCAGCTCGCGGTCATCCGTAGCAGCAGCTTCCCGTCGATATGAAGCATTTTCCGGTGAGCGTCGGGATCGTGTTGCCGAATCTGTTGGCTTTTGGTGCTTGCTTGGCGAGTTGGACCGTTCAGCTTCCTTGGACGTGAAGAAGGTACGTAGGTTCTGTTCTGAATAATTGGCACCACCATTAACGTTTTTAGAATGTAGATTTTGTTGGGAGCAAACTTGTCATTAGCAAAACAATTGTGTTGTATGTGCTTTCGAAACTAATGAAATAATTGAGAGTGCAGGAAGAGAAACTTAACTTGTATACAGATTATGCAAAAGCTGCGCAAATGCCAAATGGACGGGTTGATCAATAAAGGAGGAAAGAGTGTGGCAGATCACAGTAGGTGCATTTTCCCCAAATGGCTTGGCGGGCGCTCAAGGAAAGCCATTCATCAGCCACGTCAGCAACCGAACATCTCAACATCAACAGGTTGGAAGGAGGAAATTTCCTTAGATGGAAGATTTACAGATCAGAAGCATTCAAATAAAACCAGAAGCTTACCATTCCTGAGAGAATACGAAATCTGCTAAACATGGGAAGATAGATCAAGGCAACGGTCAACTTGTCTCAAATAGAAGCATGCAAAATCAAGGCCAACTAAACAAGGAGAGTATTTCTCTTACAGATGCTTTTGGTCACCAGAGTAGTATATAAAGAGAAGAAAGCTGGCAGACTTTTCGGGTGGATCAAGATCAGAGTGCTAAGGAGTGTGAGCAAGATTTTGAGTGAAAAGTCAGCACAGTAATCGGGGAGATTTCTGGGTATAGGTATTGGGCAATACCAAGGTTCTATCAGCTGGATAGTTGATAGGTTAGTTTTTGTCGATTCAGCGGGGAGCTAATCGACTAGGTATTTGAGAGATTGTGTAATCATCCAGAGCTTCAACCAACATATTCTTAGTGCTTCGTCTGAGATCACACAACGTGATACTCGGACCGTGGAATAGTCAGTGTTGAGATCCTTAATTCTCTCAACACTGGAAACCATGTAAAAATTTGGTGTGCTGTGTTATTTTCCTTGCGATTTATTTTCTGGTTTTCAGTTCATACTCTGTTTGTCGTGTGTTCTTGAAATTCCAATTGCAGGGGACTCTTTGATTCTAAAGGAGAAGCAAGCTGTACACAAACCTTGTTATTACTGAAACGGTGAGTATAGAAAAGAAAGGTGAAGTTGGCTTTGGAAGAAAGTTGTCATCAGGTTAGTTATTTGGGTTTTCAATTAAACGAAAGGTGAGTTAGTTGGGCCCAAAACCAAAAGCCCAGCATGAGTGTTTTGTTCGGGCATTCAGAACACAAAGTACCAAATTTACAGAATCGTTTTCGATCAAACCCTTTTCTCTTTCCCCTCTCATGCTTGTTCTTGGCTAGAACGCAGAAAGGTTATTTACAGGGACTGACTTGACTGATCTGAAGCAAGAAGAAGCAAAAATCATCTCGCGCTCGACGAACTAACAGATTTCACCACTATCATTGTTTTAAATTTTAATGTAGTTATTAATAACTTTTTATATGCTTTATCAGAATAGGTATGGTCATTATTAATCATTTAGTTTGCATTAGTAAATATATATATAGAAAGGTGCATTTCTAATGTTAATTATTGGTATTATTAACAAATTTACTAGGGAGCCAAATTGTTAGCTATCATAGTATTATTGATGAATTATCAACGATATAATGAAACATTATTATCATTTATATGATGTATTGTTAACAAATTCGATCAAGTTGTTTTTCTAAATTTTTTATATTATTAACGTTTATGTGAAGCATCATCAAGAATATATTGTCATATTTTAAACATTTCCTAAATAATTTTTTGGCTATTGATGATCACCATTTTTTAAATTATTAATGATTTTCAAGAAATTGTTAAGATTGAAACATTACGTTATCAAAGGTTACACTATTAACATTTGTTAGCCAATTATTAACAATGCAATGTAACATTATCAATATTTATGAGGGGTGTTATTAACAATCTACGGTCATAATTATTAATGTTTTATACAATAGTTTAGTATATTTGAAATACCCATTATTAATGATATCTCGTTTTTTTCTTCTTCATGAATGGAGTGCAAGAGACGAAGAATGGAGGGCCGAAGTGTGGACACGGTGATACAATCGTGGTCTTCCTTTTCTTGAAGAATGGAGCGTCGGAGATGTAGACGTCGGGTGCAGAATGCGGAGAAGGGGTATTAAAATTATGTTTTAGGTTAGGTTTATGGAATATAGGTGCATGTACGTGGGATAAAAAAACGGGAGTTTCCATTTTTTGCAAATGAGGTTAATTATTAATGAAATTAATTATTTTCTTAAATCATTATCTGGTAGTTATACCGTTTCTTCTCTCTCCTTTTTCTATTGGCCACCAATTACTTAAGAAATTCCTTAAGCTTTGAAGCTTAAGGACCAGATCCAACCCGGTTCATTCATTCTTCCACCAGAAAATACGAACTCCGACTTGTCGGGAAACAAAAACATTTGTCCAAATTGACCAGGCCCCCTCTACTCCACTGTCTTCTCCCTCAGCAACGCCGATAAGACCGTCCACTCCACTAATCAATCCTTAAACAACTACCTTTCCTCATCTCCCTCCACGTGTCCTCCCCTCCATACCTAAAAAAAAAAAGATCAGAGTCCCCAGAAACAGAGAAGCAAACCACAACCAGAGTAAAGAGTGAAAATCTAAGAAGAAGAAGAAGAAGAAGAAGAAGAAATGTCAGGAGGAGTCGGGCCGAGCGCAGACATAACCCTACCGAAGGACCAACAAGAGCAAGAACAAGGCCACAAATTTGTCCAAGACAACAAAAAGACCCAATTGCCACCGAATTCCACCGCCGCCCCAAGAAACAGAGCATCCCTCCTCAGCTTCTACCAGCTCAATTCCCTCGCAGCGATCATCGTCCTCGCCGCCAGCGGCCTCGTGGGGATCTCCGACTTCGCATTCGTCGTCTTCTCCCTCTTCTACATCTTCCTCCTCTCCCGATTCCCCTTCCCCCCGCTTCCTCAAAAGGACGCCATGAATCTCGACACTAGATCCAGAACCCTCCGCCTCTACGTCTTCTTCGGCGCCGTCCTGGGGATCTTCCTCCCCGTCGCCTACATCTGCGAGGGGATCCTCGAGGGGGACAAGGACGGGATCAAGGCCGCCGCCCCTCACGTTTTCTTGCTCGCGAGCCAGCTGTTCATGGAAGGCGTCGCCTTCTTCGACCGATTCTCGCTCCCCGTCGGGATCTTCGTCCCCGTGTTCTACAACTCCCGCCGCATCTTCAGCCTCGCCGACTGGCTCCGCAGTGAGCTCGCAAAATCAGAGGGCGTTGGTGGCGGCGGGGGCGGGCAGGGGTGGTCCGGCGCAAGGAGGTTGTATTTCGGGAGGGCTCTGGCGGTGGCGAACATGGCATTTTGGGGGTTCAACTTGTTTGGGCTTCTGTTGCCTGTTGCCGTACCGATTTGTCTCAAGAAGTACTACGCCGCTTCTCTTAGGAAAGTCTCCAAAGACTGAACAAAACTAGCTAGAGTAGGAATGAAAGGAGACGTATTGAAAGAGAGAGGGCGAAAAAACGTTGTAAGTGGATGCAGGGGAGACATGTCTGTGTTTCTGTTTCAGGCTTTGTATTAGGTGAGACCGTTTGTAAGCAGCTTCTTCTTCTTTCTCGCCATAGTAAAAGTGATCCGTTGACCCGCCCTGATTTCTCTGATTGTAGGTCATCACTTCACACTTCTCAGGCCCTGTTCTTCGACACATGAACTGATAAATGTTTGGCCACAAGCTAAAGTGGTGCATCTTGATCTTTGTGTTGTTAAACATAAGATCGATAGAAGGATAATCACACAGGCACGCCTATTGACGTGGTATCCTCAATGTATAACGTTGAGACTAATTCACGGAGAAGAGCAACCTCTCCGAGTTAATTGTATTATCCGAGAATCCTTAGGTTACAAGAGCGGCTAACGTCACCTATTTATGATAGCCGAAAACCCTATCTCAAGGACCACTAAGTAATTAACCAATAATTCTAACACAAGGATTAAAGACTAATTACAATTGACACCCAATACAATTAACACCCTCCCTCAAATTGATGATGCTTAAGCAACATCAATTTGTACGCCAGAAACCAATGATGAGAGGTTGCCACAGCCTTAGTTAACAAGTCAGCAGTATGATCTTCAGATGTAATATAAGACAACGCAATTTGTCCAGCAGAAACTAACTGACGTATATAATGCACATGCACCTCAATATGCTTGGTCCGATTGTGAAGGGCGGGATTCATGGCTATTCGAATCGCACTAGTATTATATGCATACAACTGCATAGGAAGCACACAGGACACCCCAAGTTCTGTAACCAGCCTGCGGAGCCATACTAGTTCTGAAGTAACTTCAGACATCGAACGGTACTCAGCTTCAGTCGAAGATTTCGAAACTCTCTCTTGCTTTTTACAGCGCCAAGAAACAAACGAGGATCCAACCTTCACACACCATCCTGATGTAGACCTACGAGTGTCAAGACACCCTGCATAATCAGCATATGCATATGCCTCAATCACAGGATCACCAGCTGACGGAAAGAACGAATCCACATTAGTCGTGCCACGTAAATAACGCAGAAAGCGAGTAACTGTCACCATGTGAGTAGTCCGACGTGCTGCCATGAACTGACTCACTACCTGAACTGCATAAGAAATATCGGGTCTAGTATGAGTGAGGTAAATTAAACTTCCAACTAGACTCCGATACGAGGAACCATCAGGTAGCAAATCACCATCCGACTGGCGCAACTTTAGGGTCTGTTTACTTTCATTTCTGTTTCCTATTTTTGAGAAAGCATATGTTGAAAACAGGTGAAAACAACCTTTTGTCGTTTCCGAAAACAGCAGGAAGTTGCCACTTTCTGTTTTCATTGTTGGAAACGAATAGAAAACAGAATGAAAAGTAAACAAGTTTTTTCGTTACGGTTGCCAAATCTATGACATGAAAACAGAAAACAAAAAACGAAAATGAAAGTGAATAGGGCCTTTAAGTTCTGCTCCATCGGAGTTGCACATGGCTCACATTCATCCATATGAGTTGTCTCCAATAGATCTGCAATATATTTCTGTTGACTAACCAATAATCCAGTCGCGGACCGATGAATCTCCAAGCCCAGAAAGTAAGAAGCATCCCCCAGCTCTTTTAAGGTGAATGTCACATGAAGGTTGTCAGTAAGCTCCTGAATACCAACTATGTCATCCCCACTCACCAAAATATCATCGACATAAATGAGTAAAACTGTAAGACCGCGATCTATACGCCGGAGGAACAAGGATGGATCATTATCACTTTGTCGAAAGCCAGCAAGCAGGATAGTATCATGGAACTTCTCAAACCACGTCCGGGGAGCCTGCTTCAAATCATAAAGTGACCTACGAAGTAAGCATACTTTCGACTTGTTACCAAATAAATAACCAGGAGGACACTCCATGTAGATGGTTTCTTTGAGATCCCCATGCAAAAAGGCATTCTTTACATCCAGCTGCTTAAGACACCACCCCTTCATAGAAGCCACTGCAAATAAAGTCTGAATTGTCTGCATTTTGGCCACCGGAGCAAAAGTTTCCTCATAGTCAAAAAAATTGGACAAGTGAGCTGACTTTTGCCCCTTGGTTGAACGCAGCAAACGTCTCAGCTGGGGGCCCTGGACTTGAGCTGCTAAGTGCTGATCAAGAGGGGTAGCCTCGGATTCTTCCTCAAACTGGTGATCGATATGGTTAGAATACCCTTCCCCTGATGAGTGAGCAGTAGCGCCTTCAGTTAAGGGCTTTGGGTGTGCAGATGAGCTGGAAGAAGACATGGACGTTGGTGAGCTGGCCGAGGATAGAGGTACATCCAGCGAGAGGGAAGCTGTATCAAGAGGAGGCGTGGGAGGATCAGGAGGCTCATCCTGTAGTGGAGCAACGTTGGGAAATGAACACAGTGTCTGAAGAAAGTCCAGATCAGGGCGAGCGACGGAACCATCGTGTCCATAATACGAGAGATGCTCAAGAAAAGCAACATTACATGAAATATGGGCTCTACGTTGAGCCAAATCATAGCAGACATATCCTTTTTGTTTGTCACTATATCCGAAAAATACACACTTCACTGCTTTGGGAAAGAGTTTATGACGTTCTCTACCGGGAAGAAGCACGTAACAAACACACCCAAACACTCTTAGTTCCTTATAGGCAGGTCATTTTCCATAAAGAACCTCATAAGGACTCCTTTGATCAAGAATAGGAGTGAGCTGCCGATTAATCAGATAAACCACCGTTTGGATGGCCTCAACCCGGAAAGAGGTGGGGACACACGATTGAAACAGGAGAGCACGAGTCAACTCGAGAACATGACGATGTTTGCGTTCAACCAGGCCGTTCTGTTGAGAGACACCCGGACAAGATTCTTGCGGTAAGATTCCAAGTTCTTTAAAAAACTCCTGTAGAGGTCCAGAAATAAACTCACCGCCCAGATATGATCGTACAGTCTTCACAATTTTATCAAACTGTGTTTTAACCATCTGAATAAACTCCTTGGCCACCTTGAGAGATCTGATTTGTGGCGCAGGAAGTAAACTCATGTAAATCTGGTAGCATGATCAACAAATAGTGCGAAATATCGAAACCCAACCCGAGAGTTTACGGGAGAAGGACCCCAAGTCGGGCTGGTTCAAGTGGGTCGAAGAAGATGGAAGAGACATAAGTTGGTGGGCCTTCGGTAGCTTCGGGTCACCTTCAAGCCCAATGGCCCTCCATTCTTGGCTCGTAGAATCCTTCTTCACTCCAAGGTCAACCTTGCTTTTTTCACCGCTCACTTTCCCTTGTGAGGTGACTGCGATACCTTTTTGGCTTCGATTTTTTTGCGGATTCTTTCCTTTCCCGGATATGGGAATGATCCCTTTGCTTGATTCGCCAGTTGGGTTCGCCGTGACGAGCGTGTTTGATTTCCCATTAACTCCACCTTTGGTAAGATTGGGCGCAACGTTTGGATTCAGGTTTTGCGCTACCTTCCTATTAGGTTTCCTCCTTTTCCGCGTCACCTGCATCCAAGGTCCGTAACCGGCGGGGGGCTCCGGCAAGGTCTGCGTCTGTTGGGGAGGCAGGCCAGTGGTCGCCGTGGTGTCAGTAGTGGGGGGAAGCCTACCAGGAAGTTGAGGGCAATGCTCTCCGAGATGACCGATGCCGCAATGGAAACAAATGTCCGGCAGGTTTTCATAGAGTACCGCCTGCCAGAACCCGTCGAGACGGATTCGTGTCGCCAAAGGTTTCGTCATGTCTAACTCCACAGCAATTCAAGCAAATTTTCCGCGTTCGAGATGCCCTGTATGGTAATCCAGTTTCACCGTACGTCCCAGCAGGTTCCCCAAAGCAAACAGAACTTCACGGTGATAGAAATGAACCAGCAGCTTCGGTATTTGGATCCAGGCCACCACTGATCTATGAGGCTTGTCGGAGGTGCAGAAGGAGGGGGACCATTGATGAACAACGAGATATTGATCCAGAATTACCCACGGGCCTCCGGTGAGTGCGTTGAGGTAGTTTTGGTCATTTCTGAAAGTAACGAGAAACGACTCATTATTAAGATCCATAGTATCCAGTGAACCCTTCGGTCGCCACATCCACCGGATTTGGGAGCATAAGTAAGCATATGACACGGATCGCCCAAGCAAACGGATCACCAGAGTCTTCTTCCAAGAGAGGCAGAGTCGTTCTTTGAACTGAGTTGAAAGTCGAAGTTCCGGTTCACCGTCGAAGGTCCCAACTTCGAGATCGTGTTCACCAACGACGGTCCAATAGTTGAGTTTTGGTGTGTTGGCTGCCATCGGGCCAGCGAGTGCTGCCTTGAAATTCAGCACAGGAAAGGGTGCTTGATTCGACAACAGTGGAGGCGGGGGAGTGACTGGCGAGATTTGGTTCTCCAGTGGGCGTCCAGCTTGTGCTAAAGCCATCACCGGAGGAGAAGCATGGGAGAGATTTTCAGAGAGCATCACTACTTTACATTATTGTTGAGATATAATCTTACAGCTTTATTCAATTCTACTTTATTTTAGTTCGTATAAATTTGATTTTGACTCAAATTACTCAGTCTCATTGATCTAACATCACATGTGTTGCAGAGAAAAAAGAATGGAATATTAGAGGTAAATTGTTACCTAGCTAGTGTTTTGTTTGATGTTGGTGTATAATTCTTGTAAAATTACTCGTCATACTCTTTTTCAACTTTTCTTTGAAAGATTCCAATTAAATATTCTTTTTTAACCCAATGTTTTAAAAATTGAAGGTGAAACGAATGAGACATGTATGTTAAATTGGATGGATATTGAAAAACTCATAATTTTTTTTATTTATTGAAGGGAGGCTAAAGCCACATGTCAAACAACAGTACAAGCTCCTCCCAAGCTGTCACTACAATAAAACTGCAGGACCAGGAAGGCGGTAATCCACAAAAGGCAGGAAATCATACCTCGACAAACTGACAAACAGAAGCAGAATACCCCTGGATCAAACAAGCATACTAATCCCCGCTCTGTAGCACCGTTCTCGGGAAGCTAACGCCAATTATGTCTTCTCTCAAGATTCTTTCCAACTCCCTAGGTGGACTTGTTAGTTCATACGTACCGAAGGTATAGACGAGATTGTGCTTCGAGAGCCAGTCCGCGACTCTATTCCCCTCTCTGTACGTGTGAACTAACCGTACCACCCAGTTCTGAGACATCAACCGTCTGATAGGTGCCAAGATAGTCGAATGAGGATGAGCAGGATCCTCATGATTCCTGATGAGGTCAATAGCCAGCTTTGAGCCTGTTTCCAGAATTAGAAATTGGGTACCTTGCTTCCAAGCCATAATGAGCCCCTGATGGATTCCCCACAGTTCCGCTAAAATAGCTGAGCCAGTCCCGATCTTGCAGCAGAAACCGCTCAACCAATCACCATCGCTGTCTCAGAGAACTCCGCTGGCGGTCGCCAACCCCGACAATCCTTGGGAAGCTCCATCCATGTTCATCTTTCTCCAACCGGCCCCTGATATCCATGCGACCATGCTAGATTAAAAGGGGTTATTCACACTATTATGATACACTTCCATACTACTGTGATATAATCTTTTGTACTATCAAACATTACCATTATGGTATAACTTGTAATTTATGTCTCAACTTTTTCCCCAACATATATTAAAGTAGTTGCTATTTTGAATAGCATAATTAATATGATTTTTATGTGACAAATTAAATTACCACTTAAAACCAAAGAGATCTAGTTTGGTTAAATTAATTGGAGGAAAAATTATATTTCTTTCATGAATTCTCGATGACGGTTATCAATGGTTATGCAAAACTGAGATACTCATTGGATCAACTTCCTATCGATGATAATTTATGTGTCTTTTTTAATTAAAAAGACAAAGTCATCCTTTCTAAAATCGTTCGGGGGAATTTAAAATTATGCACGTTATTATGGAGAACTATTTTATATTAGTGTGTATATTAATGTTGAGATATAATCTGGAATGCTACTTATTTTAAATTCATATTGATATTGACTCAAATTACTCAATCTCGTTGTTCTACCATCACATTCACATGTGACATGTGTTGCAGAGAAAATGATTTGGGCTTGTGGGCGGATAATTAGCAATAGACTATAGCCCAATCCTAAAACTATAACCAAAACCCAATTCTCGCCAATAAACAGGAGAAAGAAAGCCCAACCAAACCCTCAGCGAGGTAATAAATAATGTAGAAAGGCTTTTTATGGCCTTCCGTGTGATGCGGCTAGACCTCCTGATTTTGTTTTAACCCACTCTTTACCGAGAATCTCCTTATATAAGTGGGTAGATAGATATATAGAGGTAGATAGATAGATAGATAACCTGCCGAAGACAACTTTCAATACTTCTAGCCAGTAAAATTGGTTTGAACAATATGCTTAAACTTTTTGGGTTTAAGCACATGAATCCAAGCCCCTGCCCAGTAGCACGTCAACCCTTTTTTTTCTTCTTTTCTTTATTATTAATTATGGGTTTAATTATTGGTTAGATTTGGGGTTAAGGATGGAATTAATGGTTGTTTTAAGATAATAAAAGTAATGGTTGTTTTAATGTTGGGGTTAATTGTGAAAATAATGGTTAATTTTGAAAATAATGGTTAATTGTTGAAATTCGAGATTAATTTGATGTCATCAAAATATTTAAAAGTATGTTTATTCGATAGAATTAATTAAATTAAATTCATTCTATTTACAATTTATGTTTATCATCTTGAAATTGTGTGTAAACAAAAACTAGAACGATATAATAATGGAAAATATATTATTGAAATGTAAATGCGTTCTTGAATTATAAAACAATAGAAAAATCCTTGAAATGTAAATTCGTTCTCGAAATTTGCAAAAACAATTATCGGAAAATTTGTATTTAAAAATTATGATGAACTATACAAAAATTAATATGAACAAATAATATTAAAATTATCAAAAGTACATTTTTACTAGGAAAAAAATCCCCAAGAGATGATAATATTGGAACAAAAATAATAAAAATGAGGACAATCACCAAATTTTGAGCCTAGCATTCAAGTTGGTCTTACTATTCAAATGCTTCTCGCTCCTCCCCGGCCCATTATGATTCACTGTAACTTGTAAACACAAACGGGCTGACCGTCTGTTATGGGCTTTCTAAATGGCAAAGCTCAAAAGAGAAATGCAAAGGAAAAAGGAAAGATATTATCCCGGCGCAATATGTGGTCTAGAACTCTTCAGAATCCATGTCGCATCAGGATAAGTCCCCGCTTCTTGCGAAGGTAATAATTATCGAGTGATGGACGAGTAAGCGGGTTGGGTGAGCCAAACCCCAACAGAACAGAATCGCGGATCAAGTTGAAATCAGAGCCTGCTCCTGCCAAAAAGGTAGGCGATGAACGATTGATGGGGATGGCTATGGCAGCATGATCGAGCTCCTGAGATCAACGCATGGTCTGAATAACCCTACCCAACAGATTAAAACAGGTAAGAAGACAGCTGACATAGAATTAGTGGGTAAAGGCAAAAACTTTAATGGCGTGATTAAGAAAGGGGAGGAAGATTATTGACTAGTGAGAAGGGAGTGGGGATGATGTGTCTGTGTGCAGGAACAGGGAAAGAAGGTCCTACGAAAATGGGGGATGGTCCCAAATCTAGGGTCGATGTTTAATAGAATTAGGTTTGGGGGTTACCAGTTGGGAAACGACAGAGGGCCTCCACTACTCTAACTGCTGGGAGTTGTGCTAGAAGAAGTGAGCTAGCCTGCCTGGCTTTGGCTGGCCTCTGACTCATAATATTTAACGCTCTACTCTCCTTGCCACTATCTTTACGTTTCTTGACCCATAAACGGAGGAGACGTCGTCAGGCGAGGGAGCGAAGCGGGATGTGGCTGTTCAAGAAGAATGGGCCATCTGGGTTCTCTTCGTCTTCCACTGCCGAGCAAGTCACTTCTGGGATTGATGCCTCTTCTCTCACCGCCATTGTTACAGGTTCTTTTGTTATCCCTCGTTTCTTTTCATTTCCTAACTGTGTTGCATATTCGAACTCATGTGTATAAGTAATGGAACGAAAGAAAGACGAATTGGGAAAGGGGTCTGTGGTGTTCGATGTTTCTTGTGGTAGATTCATCAGGTTGTACGGGAGTGGGTAATGGGGCCTCTTGTGGGTTCGGTTTCTGCCGACATGGTTCTGTTGATATGTTCATGGTGGAACGTTGTTCCCTTCTTTTGGAATTGTGGCCTGCCCATTTCTGGAAATCCAACTTCATTTATGGGCTGACACCTCCCCATCTGAAGTTAGGCGTAGAAGTATATATGAATGTTTTTAGCGAAGGGATCTCCAACTCTGGGTTGTACACTGTCTATAAAAAGTTCACCTTTCAGGTTGATGGTGGGTTTTTGTCATTCTGGAATCTGGATTTCGGGGTTTTGCTTCTTTCCTTAACTGACTATCTCTGCTTGCCGGTAGGACGATTTTGATGGAAAACAACTGCGGAAAATGAGCACAGTTGACTTGGAGCCGTTTAAGTTGTATTTCTCTCATGTGCTGATAAGGAAATTATGACTTTGTTTGTGCTGACTATCAATTTCACTGTTCTCTTGTTGGTTAATATAGGAGCATCCAGTGGGATTGGTGCTGAAACAGCTCGTGTTTTGGCAGTGAGGGGAGTTAATGTAGTCATGGGGGTAAGGAATATGGATTCAGGTAAAAAAGTGAGAGAAGAAATTGTTAAACAAGCCCCCTCTGCCAAAGTTGATGCCATGGAATTGGACCTCAGTTCTTTGGCCTCCGTCCGGAAATTTGCCTCAGCTTTTAACTCCTCTGGTCGTCGTCTCAACCTTCTTATGTATGTACAACACCACTAGTATTTATTGTTAAACATATGTTACCTCATTCCCCTTACTTTTTTTGTAGATGGATTACTGAACTCTCCACTTTGGTTTACTTGAAAGTAACAATGCAGGCGTTATGGCAACCCCCTTCACACTTTCCAAAGACAAGATTGAGCTGCAGTTCGCAACTAATCATTTGGGTATGCTTTTGGTTCATAATCTAGTCTAGTGATTAGTTTCTGGGGGCTTTTTCAGTAGTAAAGATGCTTAAAACGCTGCAGGTCATTTTCTCCTGACCAATCTACTGTTGGAGAATATGAAAAAAACTGCTGTCGAAAGTAAGAAGGAAGGAAGGATTGTAGTGGTTGCGTCAGAGGCTCACCGGGCTACATATCCTAACGGCATCCGTTTCGATAAAATTAATGACAAGTCAGGGTAATTATGCTGTCATACATCAACCACTGCATGAAGTTTCCATAGTTCATCCCTCACCAGGTCTTATGCAATTTGATTGTCTAATTGTTTTGCTCAAACTTAGTTCCAGTTTGTGCGCAAGATGTCTAATGGCCATCTTGTAATAATTTTCTGAGTGAGCTTTGGTTTCTGGAATGCACTTAAGTTAATATAGTGGATCTTCGTCCATCAACTCACGAGTTTCGACTGTTTGGCTGCCATTAGACGGAATTCTATTCTATATTAAGCTTCATGGGCTGCAGTTTCTTAGTTTTTATGCAAATAACTTTCCAAACAGCCATAGGGACGGTGAAGACTTTGGTCATTTTGCGTAACATTCAGAATCTAGTGCGTCATTTTCATGCATGGTTCAATATATTGACTTAAGAGTGAAAAATAAGTCATTGGTTTTACCTGTGTACAGATATTCTTCTTACCTTGCATACGGGCAATCAAAGCTTGCTAATATCTTGCATGCAAAGGAGCTTTCCAGACGTTTAAAGGTACAAGCTTGTTAGTACCATATTTCAATTAGGTGATGTGAATTGCTCTGCAATCGAATGCCTGTTCAATTGAAATAAAAATGTCACCTAGAGTAGCATGCGCTTTTGCTAAAGAATGATCACCAATTGTCTTAATAAACAGGAAGAAGGGGCAAATGTAACTGCAAATTCTCTTCATCCAGGAGTAATTGCCACCAATCTTTTCCGTCACATGACTCTCATCTCTGGTATTTGCCTTAATACGAGTAATCTCTTACAGATTTCTTTCTTACATGGTCTCTTAAAAATCATAAAGTACATACAGTTCCTGTGGTTTCAGGCGTAATCGAAGCAGTGGGTAAGCTTGCATTCAAGAATGTTGAGCAGGTGAGTCATCATTGACCCTCCTTGGTTAGTTTGAATCCCCCATTAACCCGAACTGTCTTGGTGTTCAAAATGGTTGATTCATGATATGCAGGGTGCAGCTACTACCTGCTACGTCGCATTGCATCCACAGGTGAAAGGGATAAGTGGCGAGTATTTCTCTGACAGTAATTTGTCGAAACCAACCTCTTTTGGGCAGGATGCTGCCTTGGGAAAGAAGCTATGGGACTTCAGCATGGAGTTGGTCAAGTAATCATCCATGAAAAAGCCACAGATTATTACAGGACCCTTCAAAAAATAAATGTTTTTTTTTCACGACAATTATTTATATCCAATCTCTCCTTGTTATCTTTATATTATAGAAAAGCATGAAAGATAGAAAAGACTAGTAGAAGTAATTGTCTCGAAGCACCAGAGACTTTCAGCTGACCTCTACAGTTCCTCATGTATATGGTAATGGAAGTTGCTGGCTTACGAGTAAAAGTCGAGATTTTCAATGGACAGGTGTTTGTAGCGTATTAAAGGGTTCATGAATTTACTGGACATCTCAAGGTCGTGTAAATGTATGGATTTGTGTAGTGTGATTCACTATAATAGTTTAGTATGCAGTGGCGTTCTGCAGGGATAACTTGAGTCCCAAGAAACACCTATGTTCTAGTTGGCAATGGTCTATCTCAATTACCTGCAGAATGACGGGTAAGAGCAGAAAAATCATGGGAATCAACAGCTTCGCATCGTCCATATACTCTTAGTGGTGTGTACATACAACAACAAATTCAGTTTCCAACAGAAAACAGAGTTCAGTTATACAACAGGACAGTTATAAGAAGCCAGCAAGATAGATATGCACAAGGCTCCATTTCCCAAACAGATTCTTCAGTTCCAATTGGCACATTCACTTCATTATCCAACTTCTGTACATCAATCTGAACAAAACATAACAAAGGCGCCAAATTCCCTTCTCCGTCTTCTGTTATCTCATCGCGATCTTCTAAAAGAATATACCTGCCTTGCATTCCAAGCTAACCAACTGCCACACATTGGAACAATGCAGCCACAAGCTGGCCCTAGTAAATCGACCCAAAATAACATTACCCGAAGAACCTAGCATCAGCCAGCTTAGCATTGTTCTCTCTCTCTCTCTCAAGTCTGAACCAACCAAACCTTATTCCTCATTTCCATCCTCACGCGACCTTATTGTTTACATTAGCATCCTGACAGAAAAGAATCTCAAAAGTTGGATAAACTGATCCTGTTAGAACCAAAAAAAATACCGTCCTGGAGAGGCTAGCTTAGAAGTTACTCCGATAGGGTAGTAGGATCGCCAAAAAACTATGAATGGAAGTTAGATACCGTCGGTGGTCCGGCTGGGCAAAGGCGACTTAGGGCTAAGGTCCAAGGGTGTATTCAACTTCGAATGATCCTTCAAAAGCTGGCGAGATACCCGATCAGCCAACACCAACTGCCCATCATAAGTTTCCCCAAGAGCTAGTCGTGGCCCCAGCTCGGACATGTTAGGCCCATTCCCAGGCTGCTGCATTCCTCTGAAAATATCGGTCTCATGATATGATGAGCCGTTTGGGTACATACCATTTGATGTTGGCTTTGATATGTTTGCATAAGTTCCATCTTGGAAATAAACCAAGTGTTTCATGTGATTGAAAGGAATAGCACCGATGCCACCTGTAAGAGGTGTTGAAGAGCCTGAGGTTGTTCTGGGGCTAGATATTGGCGACGGAGACATTCTTCCATTAAGATGTTGTGGAGACCTTGAATGCAGAAGAGGACTACCAATGGGCGAGACTGGGCAAGATATGTTCCTTGGGATATGGATATCGCTACAAAATTCAAAAGCTTAAATCATGTCAAAAGCTTAGTTCCGAGAAAAAATGTGTGTCGGTGCCTTGTTCGTGTGAGTGTGAGGGAGTAAGAGATAGTAAGAGAGAGAGAGAGACCTGGCATGAAGGCCGCTTCTGGAGACTCTAGATGAATGAACAGCAAGTCTCTCTGTATCCAAGGTAGGGAAATTTCTAGCTTGACTAATTCCCTGAAACATTATCAGATCCCGCAATTCAAGAAAAAGGACTTGATAATTGGTTTGCAAGTAGAATCTCACTGAAGCAAAGTATTGACAATTTAAACAAGGGAAAGGTTATGAACAAATACCAGAGCTTTCACCCCGTTGGTCAAACCAGGGGGTGTATCTGTAAATTCAGGGCTGGGTAGAGATCTTTCCACAGGTGCAGCAGATTTGACAAATGGGTGGTCCAAAAGCTGGGCAGCGGTAGGACGATGTGATGGGTTCCTTTGCAAGCATTGCCTGACAAAATCCTTTCCTTCATCCGAGAGTTGATCCGGGATTGCAGGGAGATCTTTACTATTTCCAATCTTAAACATTGCAGCAACCTTAAAAAACAGTAATGATTCCATTATCAAGAAGATGAACACAACAGAGTAAATCATATTCCACTACTTCTGTGTTTTAAGGCACACCAAGTAGAATAAGAGGCTTGACCGCGTCCTATTAGGATTTTCAAAATCATAATCGATAGACTATTTACCCCTTCGAACTGGCTCCATGGTGGTTTAGTTGTAGCCATTTCCAGAACAGTACATCCAAGACTCCATATGTCCACAGCAAGGTTGCAGCCACTTGAGTTTTTTATAACCTATGAGAGACGAGGGATATGAATAATGAGCACGATCTGTTAAGGGCATAGCACTTCAAAAAACACAAGAAAAATGCTGACCTCAGGTGCCATCCAATAAGGGCTTCCCTTAAAAGATAAAGGACATGACTGCCCAGTGATCTGCAAAACAAAGATGGTAAGTCTAGATAGCACGAATTCAATACACAAACACTCCTCCTAGATCAAAGTTTGCTCTTTTCTTACATGCTTTGCCATCCCAAAATCTGCCAGTTTAACACGGCCATTTGGATCCACAAGAATGTTTGCTCCTTTAATGTCTCTGCAAACCAAATACCAAGGGGGGAGTGAGCAATGTCAAAGCTCAGGGAAACTAACTGCATCTGGTTAACAGATATAACTTGGTTCACCTATGTACAGTGCTTTTGGAATGTAAAAATGCCAGGCCAGACAAGATTTGCTGGGTGTAGCTACGAATTGCCAGCTCGCCCAACTGACCATAGTCCTGGAGAATTTTATAGATAGACCCACCAGATACATACTCCAGATATATGTATAGTTTGTCATCGACTTGCTCTGACCCATAATATTGCACAATGTTTGGATGCCGTAACCGGCTCAACAAAGCAATTTCCTGTTACAAAGCTCAATAGTAAGAAATTCCCTCTAAGATTATAGAGGGTGGAGGTGAAATCTACAAAGAAAGACCACAGAGTTCAATGTACCTGCATTAATTGTTTGGCACTCTCGCGTGACTTGGCATCATCTGAAAATAAGGTCACCTCCTTCATTGCACACATTTCCCCACTTTCACTAAGCAATTCAAAGGCACAGAATCAGATATTAATTTAACGGTTTTGCTACATGATCAAAATAGGGAAGATAAAGTTTCGACTTACAAGAAAGTAAAATAATCAAGTTACAACCTCAGCTGAAAATTCTAGTGTTCTTTATGCTGAATAAATTCAAAAGTTCACACTTTTCATGCAACATAGCAAATTACTACTAGGAGATAGCCCAAAATGTGATTCTTTGAAGTAAATTGTAGCTAGTATGTAAGCTTCATACCTGTTAAAGCCAACATAAACATGGCCAAATGTCCCTCTACCTAGCAATTTCCCCTTCTTCCAGCGTGATCCAGGACTTGTTGGATTTTCCGCCCTTCCTGGACTTCTTGGCACAGATGGAGATGTGGCAGTTGAGTTGGGATGAGAGAAAGGAGACGAATTGGAAATGGTAACAGGAGGAAGTGGTAACCGATGAGTTTGTTGTTTTCCATCCTCAGGCCAGCTTGTTTGCGACTCAATAGTGCCACTACCTCCTGCTCTGGGGTGTATAGGTGTGACAGCACCACTTTGGACTCTGGAACTGGGGCCCGGGCTAGCCATTCGAGGACTCGGTATCGGAGAACATTCAGGGCTACCTCTGGTTTGGTACCAGAATAGCTGGCCTGTCATGTCCCCTCCCATTGAATTTTGTCCAGAGTTGTAACCGGATCCAGGGCTAGAACAATGGCCAGATCCAAGCAATGTGACGTCGGTATAAGGCCTCCCAGCCCACAGAGCAGAATTAGCAGCATGATCAGTTCCAAAACCTCTCAATGGACTTCTTGAAGGACTTGACATTGAACTGTCAGGAGCACTACAGAAAGCACCGTGATGGGGAACCTGCAGATTTGGCACATGACCTCTTAGAGGTCTCCTGTTGGGTGATGTGGGAGTGGTGAAAGTACACAAAGAGAGCTTTGCTGGTTTCTTCGCCTCTCTTGGCTTCATAATTGATGCAGTAGAGGCATGATCCTTGAGCACCCCACTTCAGGATGACAAGGGGAAATTTTGGTCACGGATGAGAAAAAAGAATAAATAACTACAATAATGATAACAAATTAACAATAGTATCACATAGAAATATCACTTGGCCTCACCTTGAAGGGCTGCTGACCGTTGTTCTTGTTCCAAGGTCACAGTCAGTTGCCCGAGGACTAGGTTGATTAGGATCAACAGGATCATCAATATCAGTTGAACTTGCACTTGAGACTGATGCAGTGATCAAATCTCCATCTAAATCTGCCTGATTCGATTTATTCCGGATGCATGCAGGTCTAGGTAGAGGCAAAAAAGACTTAGGGGCTTTCTCCAACCTGGGTTTTGTGGTTACACCAAGCTCAGAATCTGCACGCCCCACAGCTGCAGGATGAACTCCAGGACGAGGAAGTGGTTGCGCACTAAGCCTTTCAGCAAAACTTTGACATCTAGAGACATGTTTGGAAGGAGGAGATGGTGATCTGGAATCAGGCCGAGATTGTGCTCCCATCTCTGACACGGTGTCATTTAAATGTCTCCTGGAAACTCCTGATCTACTGCTTAATTTACCATCAGATGGACTCTTGAATCTCCGGTGCAATGTATCAATGAAACTTTCCATGCTTCCTTTCTTCTTCACTTCTTTAGACGACGACTTCCCCCACCACGGACGCATGTTTCCCCACTTCCAGGAACCTAAGCTATCACTCAGACTAATAGTCCTAGTCTAATCACATTCGCACCTAGTTTAAGGAAATCCACAAGCACGGATTACAAAACTCAAGGGCAAAAAGAAAATGATT